TTCTAAATTTCGATCTCATCATTCGTATTTTTTATCTATTCTGTATCTCTCTATCCATATTTCATATCTAAATACACCTCTGTGTAGCTTCGTATATTACATCTCGATCTATATATATATATATATATATATATCTATCTCCCCTATATATATATATATATATATATATATATATATATATATATATATATATATATATATATATATATATATATATATATATATATATATATATATATATATAACATTTTAGAATATGAGGGAAATAAATTCCACATATCACTCTCTCTTTTCTCCCATATCTCTCTCCGCTGACATGCCCTCTCTCTCTCGCTCTCTCTCTCTTCTTTCTCTCTTTCTCTCTCTCTCATGCTTTCTCTCTCTCTACATAATATTATTTTTTAATATTATTTATTGTTGCAAATTGCAGTTTGTTTATCATTTATTTTGTATTTTCACTTTGTTGATGCATTTTGTAACTTGTTGTTGTAAATTGTATTTTGCATTTTGTTGTTGCATGCAATTTGCATTTTGCTATTATAACTTGGAAAAAAAGAAAAAAATAGTGGATAAAATAATTGAATATTTTAAAAAAATTATCGATAAAAAACCAAATAAATGTGTGTCATGAAATCCTATCAACAAATATTATTTTTTTTCAATATTATTTTATTATTGCGAATTGGAGTTTGTTTATCATTTCTTTTGTATTTTTCACTTTGTCGTTAGAGTTTGTAACTTGTTGCAAATTGTATTTTGCATTTTGTTGTTGTATGTAATTTGCATTTTACAGTTATAATTTGAGAAAAAGTAAAAATTAGTGGATAAAATAATTGGATATTTTAAAATATGATCAAAAAGAATAAGTAAATAATATCTTTGATGAAATTATACCAACAAATATAACCAGTAAATACTATATTACAACAATTTTGTAACGTTAAATATGTGGTTTGGTTTGAAGAACTGTTGGAAAATATTGGGAAGTTTTGAATATGATAAGGGTAAGTTTTGGATCACTGTAGATGTAGGTGAGTTGAATTTTTTTTATTTAATTATAATTTGTGATTAAAAACAAAAAGAATAAAATGTTTTAGTCTTGTACACAACTTTGAACAATATGTGAACTTTTTTGTAAAATATTTTTTTGTCTCATTATAAATAAGCATCCCTTCGTGAGTTTATTTACTATGTGCCCATAATTTGTTTACAACAAACAAATATTTAGCAACTATTAAACATCATAAGAGCAACTCAAGTGGGTTATCAAATATGGCATTCAAACCATTAACCATCATTTATTACACACTAAATTTTTAACTTCAACGGGGTTATCAAATGAGATTATTTTGATAATTTATCTCTTGGCTCATACTTGCTGGAAATCGAGTTATAAAAAAAGTAACTATCTAAGTATCCAATCACAAGTTGACACGTGACAATTACAAATTAAATCACTCATAAACTTCCAATTGATAATTAATTTAATAACCATATGATTGGAATAGATGAATTTTAATCAATATTAAAATATTATCTTAAATATCAAATAAATATTTGATAATTCAATTTTGATATTTAGCATTGAGTTGCTCTAGGAGAAAAACATGACGATAAAAGAGTTGGCACATGATAATCGGCAAAATGCTTGAGATCGTTAGTACTTAGTACCATAACTTAAACTATTTGTATTAGTACTTCACTAATTACTTATAGTAAGTATTTCTAATTATCATTTCATGTTAAATAAATTTATAATGTAATATGTATTAGAATATAGACTACTTTAATATTACTCAAAATTTTAGGAAACCTCAATTGATTTTTTCAGAAATTTCAAGGATATATTCCCATAGAAACTCTGCAAATTTAAACTAAAATTTGGATTTTGCGTAGGTTAATCAAAGTCTTCCACGAAAGAGCCTTTGACAAGTATATATAGCTATAGATATGGTGCTCACATGAGTATAGGTCAACTGGTTTCGGGGATGGTAAGTTGGTACAAGTTGTCTCGTCGCTCTGTGAACAGTTGAAAGGTTTTTCCACATAATTAAATTGGTTACAGGGCGACGAGACATGCATTATATTGCAAAAACGAGACTTGATATATGTATATAGGAGAATCCTGAAATCGAGGAAATATGAGATACATTGCTTGCATGCATCACTATATAGAATTTCATGCCTAGGAATTAATATTCCGAATATAATCGAAACAGTTATTGGGTGCTAAAAGAAAAACAGCTTCTTCAGAATGGTGTTCCGGAGAAAAACCTTTCAATTGAGAATCGCATTCGTGTGTATAGATAGGCCACGGCTTAGTATTTTATAAGAAATCTGAGCGCATATTTGAAATCAAACTAATGTAACTTAACTTATGGCCATGAAACTTACTGCAAACAATCTTGATATAGCTTCATAACAAAGTTTATATTGGCGCCAAAATTATTCATCTTCCATTGAATAATTTCGTCTAGTCGTGTATCTCTTTGTAGAAAAACAAACCAACTGAAAGAAAGGCCGCAGTAATAAATAAGCGTATAAAACTATGTTCTATAAGTTAACAAATACGATACCAGAATTAGGGTTCAAAAGATTCACAAACTTTCCCTCCATTTCAATGCAAAGCGAGTAGAAATACGTTTCCCTTCCTCAAAGTCCGGCAAATCTGACAAACTTGTCGGATCCCATTCTCCTCGATTCTTGTCATAAATCTCCAAGCCTACTTCCTCCAAATCCGGCAACCACAATTGTCTTAATTGATCTTGATAATTCCCATTTTCTCCCTGCATTAGATTCTTCAAGACGGACTCGGCGTTCATGTAGTTGATTGCACCGATTTTTCTCGGACGACAAATGCAAAACAACCCATTCGAAAGAGGTGAAAAATAAGATAACTCACCATGCAATTTCAACTCCTCCAGCGCAACTGCAGGTTTATTTCCACCTTTAATATCTTGTACAAGATCAAGGTTTTCTTGAAATATGTCCTCATCATTCATGCGAAACTGATGAATAGTGACAGAAATTTCAGATTGCCTTAACGAATCGAGCAGTTTATGAAGCTTGAGTAACCAAAAAGAAGGATCATTCCTCATGAGCAGGTATAAACATGAACTCCACTCTGTCGAAGTTGTTGCGAAAGAGATGGATGGGATAAGCAATCCATGATACCCAAAAGTGCTTATGTTTGGGGCGTCAATATGTAGGTGGGATTCTTCTAAGGATTCTTCGAGTCCGTCGCAATACAAAATAGCCAAGTTTTCTAGACTTGGGAATTTACACGAAGAAAAGTGGTCCAACGACGACAGTGTGACACGGTTTAGAAATAAACTAGTGAGATTAAGAAAGTTGGATCCTTCGTGAAGCAAAATATTACCGGACTCGATCTGAATGGTTTCAATAGATGTTGGATAGATTTCGTGCTACAATCTTCTTCGTCCGACCAAGATGAAAAATAAAAGTCCTTGAGACGACGAAGATTACTCGCCTTGATGTTTCTTATCGTGTTGCATGATTTGAGAAACATAGTTTCAATCAAAGGACAGCTTGCGATTATCTTCTGAAACATCCTGTCGTCAATGCATACTTGTTCGAGACGAAGTTTATTCAGATGCTTAAAGAGAACTGTCTTCTCAATAGCCTTTTGGTCTAAGATGAATCTTTCAACATGCAAATCTCGGAGCGATTCGGTCTCAAAGACTACAGAGGGCAGTTTAACATGTCTGAAATGTGCCGGAACAATAGAAAGACGGAAGTTCTTCACACCCGCACTTGTGATTAATGGGATCCATTTTTCGAGAAGCGAAACAGATGTACTATCCAACGATGTATAAGAAAGGCTACACTCATCCAAGGACAACCTTTGTTCACAGTATCGCCGTAAAGTGTTTTCGAGAAGAGATATAAATTCACCATTGTTTCCTTTGAAGGTTGCGTCTGACAAATCAAGATTGGGGCGCGTACACCAAATTTCACGCCATGATTTGGACAGGACAGATGTTCGAACAGCGTCTTCTTGGGACATGAAATACAGTTGTCTCTGCAAGATACATTGTGGCAACTCGGATATCCTATCTATCGATTTGGAGCCGTCTTCTCCTTTCCCCTTTTCATGCCTCTTCTAATCTGATAAAACCCTATTGATTTATTTATTTTTTCTGCTAAATAAAACAATTGGTTTTATAGGGTAAATAATGGTTGGGTGATTACTACAATTCTACCAAAGGTAGAATCCCTTGTTTTCTTTTCCGCACCTATGTATTTTCCAACTTGCAGGATTCTTATTACTTACGGGAATACATGCACTGCACACGGTAATTAACATATTGTTTTAGGATTTATCGAAAAACGCCTTTTCTTTTTCGCGTATCTCTTGATTTTTTTATTTTTATATGGGAAAGTTAGAGAAAAACCCCAATCTAGAAAATGTAGTTAAGGAAACACTACCTTCCAAAAATAATTAGAAAAAATCTTTTGGCTATATTCCATCCAAGGGATATTTTTATAATTCCAAATTATCCTTAATTGTCTATTATACTTGTTCAAAACCCTAATTTTATTTTCTCTTCTCCCGTCGCTTCTCTGCTTTTATTTTCTCTCTATTGTACTTTTCTCTCTCAAATCTTTACGTTTTTTTCTCTTGATCGGAAGATGAAGAACAAACCACCGACATCACCGCCAGAACAACGATGTCAATTCCGTAGAAGCCGTCGGCGTCGTTGCCATTTTCGTCACCGTCGTTTAATCGTCGTTGGGGATCTAACAAAAGCCATAA